AAAATGACCATTCTACCAAAAGAATTATTCAGATTTAATGCAATTCCAATCAAAATTCCAATGATATTCCTCATAGAAATAGAAAAAGCAATCATGAAATTCATCTGGAAAAATAAAAGTCCCAGAATAGCTAAAGCAATCTTAGCAAGAAGAGTGAAGCAGAAGGCATCACTATACCAGACTTTAAACTATACTACAGAGCAATAATAACAAAAACAGCATGGTATTGGCACCAAAATAGACTGGTAGATCAATGGTACAGAATAGAGGACACAGAGACTAACCCACATAATTACAGTTATTTTATATTAGACAAAGGCACCAAAAACATACATTGAAGAAAAGATAGCCTCTTTAACAAATGGTGCTGGAAAAACTGGAAATCCATATGCAAGAAATAAAATTAAACCCCTATCTCTCACCATGCATGAAACTCAACTCAAAGTGAATCAAGGACATAGGAATTAATCTATCATTTCTTTTGTGGCTTAGAATTTCTTTAGCTATTGGTCTTTTATTCCTCCAAATGAATTGTAGGACTGTTTTTTCCTAGTTATGTGAAGAATGCCATTGGAATTTTTATGGGGATTGCATTGAATCTGTGCATTCCTTTGGGTAGTATGGACATTTTAACAATATTAAGTCTGCCTATCCATGAACATGGGAGGTCTTTTCATCTTCTTGTGTCTTCTTCAGTTTCATTCTTCAGTGTTCTGTAGTTTTCATTGTAACTAAAGTGGGCAAAATATTTAAATATATCTCTTTAAATAAGATACATGAATGACTAACAAGGATATAAAAAGATGCTCAACATCAATAACCATTGTGGAAATGCAAATCAAACACATTAATATACATCCTCATATCCATTAGGGTAGGTACTATCAGAGAAGCAGAAAATAAATAGTGTTGGCAAGGATGCAAAGAGATTGGAATGTTTGTACACCATTGGTAAGAATGTACAATGACATAGCTACTGTGGAAAAGACTGTGATATTTCCTCAAAATATTAACAATAGGTTAACTATATAATACAGTAATTTCACTCCCAGGGATTTAATCAAAAAATTAAAACCAGGGTCTCAAGTTGATATTTGTGATTCATGTTCATAACAGCAGTATTTATAACAGGTAAACTGTAGAAGCAAAACATGTAAAAATGTGTGGAATGATAAGTAAAATATGGTCTATCCATAAAATGGAATATTCAGTTTTATCAAGAAGAAAATTCTGACATATACTTACAACATAKATATATATTGAGTATTATGTTAAATGAAATAGACAAAAAGATAAATACTGTGTATATCCAATTATATAAAATAACTATCTGATGATGGTGGTTATGGTTATATAACATATAAGTGTATTTAATAACACTAACCTGTACGCTTACYAATTTTTACAGTTATAAATGTGTATGTATTTTATCATAATACAATTAGGGAAAAATACATTTTAAAGGATTCATCCACGTGAATAGAAAGAACTGTACAATTTCCATGTATTTCTTTTACTTAAAGATATCAAATAACAACCTATGACTTCTTTAAATTGGTTGTTTACTAGGTGCCCCAATAGATTGTTCCCATTGAGATTACTGCCCCATCTAAGGAAGCAGTGTAAGTGATTCAAGTATAGGCACAAACAATACCCATAAYATTCACTATGCAAGTGCTGATCCTCAAGATTTTTTAATGAAAATGTATGTCTGTTGTCAGTCAAGCAACAAAGGAAGTACTATTTTTACCACAGCTGTCTAATTAATTACTTTAACTTGTGTATACAGAAGATTTTCAAATATTTTGTGGGTCCAACTGCCTAAATACCTAAAATATTTCCTCATGTCCCTGTGCTGGATCTCATTTTACAGAAGTGGTTTGGTCACTCATTTTGTTTAGATTCCARTGAGATCTATTTTTTAAGTCATCATCATCAATCCAAGGACATTTAATAAATGGGATCTTGAGCCTGAAATATGTGGCAAATAGAGACCATACATCTTTCTGTCACTCTGGGACATACTCTTCAATCATGAAAACCAGGATCACAGTCAATGACAAGCTCYATGATTGCTTAACATAGCTAGAGTCCAGTGTCATTGGAGGGTGCTGTGATTCCCTAGAAGGAATGTCAGTACTTTCAGTATTACCATGCCAGAATTTCCACTGGCTCTTAAGGTTTTGATGTAAGACTTCTTTATACTTTTTATGATGTCATTTATCAAGGTGAAAAATAAATTTCATAGCAAAATCTAAGCTGTTTTTTTATTGAATCATAAGAACAGAGTAAAAGTGAGTAAATATGTACAATACAGACATGCACTGTTCAAAGAGATTAGGAATCCCTGCACAGCARGCGTCCTTGACTGTTTGGTATGGATGTTCCCCACACTGGAGCATCTCCTTATATACTTGCTGAAGCTTTTTCCTATGTGACATAGGCCATGTCAGTTGCCTGAACCAGAGGCACTCTATTCCCGTGGGCCAGATTCTCTCTACTCTTAGAGACACAGGCATCCCTATCTAGGGAAAACACTTTGACATCTCAGGCAGCACTAGTGAGTTAGTTGGAGGTTAAGCAGTATCAGATAGACTAACTGGCCAAAATAGGACCCTACAAGATCTAATAATTAGATTGCCATTGGAACCACATCCCATGAAGTTGATGTTAAATGTAAAAAGGGTTCATTCTTAACAAAATTTTAAAAACATAAATGGATATAGCACTAGAAATCCTATCCAGAGTAATTAGGCAAGAGAAGAAAATAAAAGTGGGAAAGGAGGAAGTCAAATTATCACTGCTTATAAAATGATATGATCTTCTATTTAGAAGATCCAAGAAACCTCACCAAAAGACTGCTAGAGCTAATAAACCAATCAGCAAAGTATCAGGTTACAAAAGTCAATAGTTTTCCTATATACCAACAAAGAATCTAATGAGAAAGAAATCAGGAAAATAATCYCATTTACAACAGTCTCAAAAAACAAAACAAAAAACCTAGTTTTCTAATATTTTATTAAGGATTTTTACATCTGTTTTTGATAGGGATATAGGTCTAAAATTTTCCTTTTGATGTGTCTTTGCTGGTTTTAGTATCAGGGTAATACTGGCTCCATTGAATGAATTTGACAGTGTTTCCTTCTTTTCTAGTCCATAGAATAATTTGAAAAGAATTATCATTAATTCTTCTTTACAGGCCTGGTAGAGCCTTGCTGAGAATCCATCTGGTCCTTGACTTCTCTTTGTTGGAAGACTTATAATAGATGCTTCAATTTCATTGCTTGATATTGGTCAGTTTTCTGTGTCCCATGGTTCCATTTGCGTAAGTCATATATCTCTAGGAATTTGTTTATATCTTCAAGAGTTTCTAGCATATTGGAGTATCATTTTCAAAACAGTTTCTATTGATTATCTGTATTTCAGAAGTGTCTGTGGTGATGTCTCTTTTTTATCTCTTATTTTATTGATTTTATTCCSTCTCTTTTGGTTAGTTTGCCTAAGAGTTTAACAATCTTGTTTATTTTGTCAAAGAATCATCTTTGTTTCATTGATCCTTTTCACTTATACTCTCAATTTCATTAATTTCAATTCAGATCTTGTTTTTTTTTTCTATCTTCTACTGATTTTGGTGTTAAATTTTCTCTTTTTCTAGGGCCTTGAGGTGTGATGTTAGAGTATTTACTTATTTGACATTTTTCTGTTTTGTTTTTTGTTTGTTTGTTTTAGTGTAAGATCTCAGTACTATAAACTTCTCTTGCAGAACCACCTTTATATTTTTCTAGAGATTTTGACATGTTTTATCTCTATTCTCATTTTTTTT